CAAAAAGTTATGTCTATTTTACTAGACAGTGCGCAATATGCCTCGTCAAGTCTTCGTTCGTACTTAATTATCAAATTTGACCTCCGAACACGATCCCGGCTTAATTCCTTGAGATTTTACTCAGGCTTCAAAGCTTCAAATCACTTAAATTCATTCCATAACATATATATATAGCTCGGAATCACACCTACAAGGCATAAAACACACAATTAGTGCAAAACACTAGTGATTAAAGCGCAAACTCAATTAAAGTGCAGTAAATTCGAGTGTAATAAGCGACTAAAATATGCAATTATAGCCTATCATCACATACTAGCTAAATAAGTTCCATATTTTACACAGTCGATCAGAAGAGAAGCCTTGGGGTGACTAGTAAGGTTGTTGCCATGTGACCAGGAGCCAGGAGGTCACGGGTTCGAGCCGGGAAAACAGCCTCTTGCAAAAATGCAGGGTAAGGCTGCGTACGATAGACCCTTGTGGTCGGGCCCTTCCCTCACCCTGCGCATAGCGGGAGCTTAGTGCCCCGGACTGCCCTTTATTTTACACAGTCGATCACTAGAATAAATGTGGCAAAGGAATAATTTTCATTAGAATTATTTATCATGTAGTACTTAAGTCTTTATCAAAAAAAAAAAAAAGTTATAGTAACTTAGTCTGATAGTTTTTTGATTTATCAAAAAATTAAAACAAAATAAAAAAAGAAATTACTTAAGTGTGGTATTTCGTTTATGTCAAATCTGAAACACGGTACTAAATGATGTATATGTAGCCTGTATGTGGATATCTTTTCAATGATACGCAGATTGATTAAGTGAATCGCAGCTGTAGACTGTCTGTCCGCGATGCTATTGTGCTTGGCATATAGGAATATAAGCAGCAAAATATAGCCTGTTATTATTAGTTCCCAAGCGGATTACTGAGTAGTTGAGCCACAGTAGTAACAACCTGGAGTTCCATGTTCGTATCCCAGCTACAACACTTAATGTGAGCTCGTATGCTCCAACTTTGATGGGCATGTTTACCCAGAACCTGTGATTGTGGACAGTCGCAAGCTACTTGGTGGATTAGTCGAGGTGTGCCAAACTGGCAATGACACCGCCATCATCCACAAGAAAAAAGGCATGCGATCATTAGATTTCCTAAACTAATAGCTGATGAACTGTTAGGCCTTAATGGTGCATGTTCTAATCCTGACTCCATTGTTGGCCTGATCTGGTCAGTCTACAAGCTTCACTGTTAGCATCGGGCAATGTAACAATTTAATGCTCACCCTATCCAAAAAAGCAAAAACACAGTGAAAAAATGCCAAAGTAGTACGCCATCCAAATGCAGCATGGTGTCATTTTATATTGAAGTGTAATTTAGTGGCAACTCCCCCTACTTAGGAGCACTCCTATTTGAGCAATATAGGCATTTAATGAGCTATCAGTACTCGTTTAGTTTTAACTTGCCCATCTATTCTATTCATTATAGGTTTCTCAAATATCTAAAGACCCTTGCAGAAGCAAGTACTAGTGTAGACTTTAAAAGTTCTTGGACTAAGAAATATGTGTGCAGCCTGAGAAGAGAAGTAGGATTAACAACTTGGGAGAGGTGAAGCCTTTTCTCATGTTGTGACTTATCGACAATACTATTGCATATAGAGCCATCTGCTTGGAACTGTGTGTCTCTACAGTTTGCTTTAGTACGTCATCACAATAAAATTGAGCAGTAGAGTATATGTGTCTTGACAAAATTTCAGCAACCAACATGATACTTTGATTGGATTTTGAAGGTGGTAAGATATTTTTGTAAGGTGGCTAGAGTTGGACTGTTTCCGGAATTCAGTACCATGCCTCCAGATTTAATTTGACATATGAACTAGGAGGTCCAATACTTTCGCTAGGGGGATTGAACTATGAAAAGGAAGGGTAGAAAGATTTACAAAGTGAAAGAGGAGTCATAAGCTTATTTTCTCTCTTTTTTTTTTTTTTTTTTTGTGTGTGTGTGTGTGTGTGTGTCAGAATATGGGAAGTTCCTCCATGTTAGCTTTTTCCACCCTTTGGGACAGAGGAGAAACTAAATCATTTCCATTTCTCTAAGAAAATGATAGATACTTCACTCGAGGGAACCAAACAGATTGTAAGGGGTTTTAACGCAGTTGGAGCAATGCTTCTCTCTTCTTTAACAGCATTGCTATCGCTTACTGTGGTCCTCTTATGTGTGAGGAAAAATAACCGCAGTTTCCATTCGATCAGGAGAAATGAGGTAAGAGATAACCAGAGTTCGGTTGAAGCCTCGTGTATAATTAAGGTAGCTTGTTACTTATCGAAAAAATAAATTAAGGTAGCTTGCTTCGTAGGTGCTAACTGACACCTTTTTACTTGTGCTTTCAATTAAAGTTGCTAGTTTTCTGAAATTTTCTTGTCTGACTTTGCACATGAATTAAGAGTAAATTTATGTTTATTGCTTAGGCTTAGCTAAGAGGAACTGGGGATGGTAAATGGGGCTGATGATTCTTTCTTCCGCCACAGTTTTAACCTGCCCTTCCCTTCCATGTATAACATAATCCCCTATTTACACCCTGCCTACCTCCACTCCTCTTAACTTCTTTCTCTTTTTAAAACTTTTCTATTTCAGTTTGCTTCTTTTTTTTCGTTTTCATATTTTGTCCTCTGAATTATAGTGATCGTTTTTACTCTAACAACTAGGTTGAAGTTTAATCTTATACTGTTATAATAAAAATATACAAGGAAGTGCAAATAATTCCCTAAAGAACCATGATGATAGCTAGCAACAACCATATTGGATGAATAAATCCTTGCAAAAATTCTCGTACTATTTCCCAGAACTATTACAATGCAAAAACATAACATTCCAATGGAGATTACCGAAAAGCCAAATCTGCTAACTAGTTTTGCCTTTTCTTTTTCTCCTTTCAAAGATAGCCAATCATCTCGGAAATCAGATCGAAGAGGCTTCAACATCGGCCAAATCCCCATCTAATATGTTTAAAATTATGCATCTTACCAAACTGGTCATTGAGATTCACTATAAGGTTGAAGGTCAAAGCCCTTTCCTCAGATGAAAGCTGTTCCTATACTACCAATTAAATGATCTAAAAGCATCATAAGCAGTAAAGCTTAAGTTAGAAACTAACTTTTCTATTTTCTCAAATCAAAAAACAAAGCTCACATAAGTCCCAGTAGAATAATCCTGAATACTCAACCCTAACCCTGAACAAAAACTCTTTTTCCAAAGCTTCAAGAAAATACACTAAATCCAACAATGAAGAATACAAACATTTCATAAACTAACTAATATTAACCAGGCATAACACAAAACTACAGAAACCCACTACATCTTTCTGTCGTCGCAGATTAAAAGTGGTTATATCGGAGGCATCGAGACACCTGTTGCTCCCTACCCTGCCCCCACTATATATTTTACTATTTTAGAAAGAAAAAGAAAAACATTGATCGCCATCCTGCCCTGCCCTGTCTACCTAAGCATTGTCCTGACCCACCTTGCCCTCTTACCATCCCTAGTGGAAACACATAAACCTCGTAATTTGATGTTTGGTTTCTAAAACGGAAAAGGGCAAAAACTAACTGACGGGTGGAAAAATGATTCCGGCGTGACTATTTGGCTCTATATAATAAAGAGTAGAAGTTCAAATGTAATATCTACCTCATCCCAGTATATTCATATTGTTCTAAAATGGAATTTCTACCCCTTCCAGTTCAGCAAGGGTAGAAGTTCCGTTTTGAAACAATATGATTATACTGGATGAGGTAGAAATTGCATTTGTAATCTTATGATATCTTATATTTAGCTTTCCTTCCAAATGGTGACGGTTATATAGTTGAGTACCTTTTCTTATAGTATAAATTGGCAATTATCCTTGGACTTCCATGCTCTGAGTCATTACTAATTTCATAATTATTGTATGATATATAAAGGTCCTACTGAACTAGTTTCTGTAGTGTTCTACATAAGCTAAACGTGGTGTCATATGATGCATCATAAAGATGTATATTGCCCAACATTCGGATTAAGATGAGAAAATCTATCAATTTCCTTTATCCAAAAAAACAACTAAACTAAAAAAAATCTCACTTTCATAATAAATTTGACTTTTGACGGTTAACGGTTTACATCCAGAACAAGTGTAGGTATTGAATTCTTGTTAATGAGCCACTGTGTTATGTTTTCTCATTGTTGGCGATCTGGCACTTGCAGTTGCAGGACACTGGTCGATAGAGCTTGTGAATGTTTGTTTGTTTTCTCTATTTAGTTCATTAAAAAGACAAAATGTATTTACTTTTACCCCGAGCTGTGGAATGTGTAATGATTAGTTCTGAAATTTGGAATTATATGCAATGTTTTTAGTAGATGACTAAACTATAGTTTGTTTGGATTGCTCTAACGCATAAATTTTTGTTTGTTTTGCAGTGATGTCAGTGACTCAGATGACGATGAATCAGATTCTTGCATTTGTAGAATAATGTAGTTCTCAGTGAATGCACTACCAAACCAGTTCTCCTTTGACTTAATACAGGGTGAATCAACGCGTGAATCTCCTTGATTCACATCTTATATAGCCTTCAATAACAGCAGCTTGTTAAAGAGAGTCAACTGTCTCTAATTTTTGTTCAAGTTATCTGGTACCTCGAGTCAAATGAATCGACCCTTTCCTTTGTACACAATCAGATAGAGAGAATGACTTCCTCTGTTGTATGTAGCATACAGAACCTTCGGGTTTTTCTTGTTTTCTTTTGCTCAATTATAATGTAAATGAGTTTACATGATGATGGTGTTCTAGCATATAGCTGGATGCATAACAAGAATTGGTTTTGTAACAACTTTCTTTCTTCATTTGTCCACTACTTTGTTTTTTTGTAAAAGTAATGTATTACAACATTCATATGCTTCTCAACCACATACAGGTCTCCACAAATGGAATTTTCTGTCCCCCAAATTTGTCTAGAAAAGAATACAACACAACTGCACTCACATACTGTAACAAATCCGATATTACACCCAACCAACTGATTATATTAACTCAACAGTAATTGTAATTACAATGTAGATGCTAACGATAGTAAGGATAAAGCAACAGAAATCTAAGAAGAAAGGGGATGAGAATTAGACTGATACAGAATTGGAGATGAGAAATATAGAAGAAGGGAGATGAGAACAAAGAGCTAAGACTTGACAACTTCCGCATAAAGAATACTCTACCCCCTCTGCTATACTTATAACTAATTTTCCCCTGCCTACATTCAACCTGGGTCCCACAAATAATTATTTAAATTTCCATATATGCCCTCCACTGAGTTACACATACTGTGTCCAAGCATAAAGACAAACAATATTTTACACAAATATCAATCCAAATGTATTTAGGCCATTCTCTGCACTTTCTTTGTTTATATGGTATTGGATTCATCAATCACAACTTGATGATCTTTAGCGATTTACTGTTGCTGCTCCTGCTGAAACCAGCCAGTTTGAGAGACTCGTATCAACTGCAATTTCCTGGGGCTTAGGCTTAGAGTTTTCTTTGGGATTTAGGTCTGCACAATTGATTACTGGCTTTCTAGGCAAAGGTATCTCTTGTTTTCCATCAGATTTGATAATGTTTTCCTTCTGATGTTTCACTTGCTGTGCTCCTCTAGCTTTAACTGCTTTCCATTGAGTGAGATTTTCAACTGGAAGTAGCACAGAATTCCCATACACATTCCTATGATCTTGACCTACTTCATATGTTTCATCCTTGTTCAGCCTTTTATCATTTTCATACTTGTTTTGTGTCTCGTCACCTCCATCTTCATTATCATCATCATCATCATCATCATCATCATCGCTAACGCCATAGTCTTCTTCATCAAGATCATCGATATCACTTTCCTCAAGTGTTATCTCGTCTTCCTCATAGTTGCAGTTATAGTATCGATAACTTGAAGGGTACATAGACATACTTGATTTTGCTGTTTCTTGTTCATTGTATTCACGTTGTGTCTTCTTCTCTTCATCTGAGAAATATGTTGAGTTGTTGTCATCATCTTGGATTCTCTCATACGCCTTAACATTCAAATTGAAGCTCACTTTCTTTTTTACCTTAGGTTTTGATGATTCTTTAGGCTTATCCCTGCATAAAACCAAATAATTTTTACAAAACTGCCCAACATGAAAGTGGCCACGCAGTCAATCAAGTCGGTAAAAATTATGGGAGATCAAAGAAAACCTAATAAAGTTCGCAAACTACCTGATTAACGTTAATGAAGTCGGTGAAAATTATGAAAGAAAAAAAAACAAATAAAATTCTCGAACTACCTAACATGAAGTGGCTTAAAAGTCGGTGAAATGAGTGAAAATTATAAGAGATCAAGGGGCAAATTCGAATGAGACAAACAAAAAAAACTAGGTGGTTAAATCTCATTTGTCTTAAGCCTTAGTGGGCAAAATTATTCAGTATTTGTGTATTGGAAGATAATAAGTATTTGGTGAAATAGTCAAGATGCATAAACTCATCCGGACACCATCACAACAATGACAATAACAACAAACTCAGTGTAATCCCACAGGTAGGGTCTGGGAAGGCTAATGTGTACGCAGACCTTACCCCTACCTTGCGAAGGTAAAGAGGATTGGCTCAAGGTGATCCGGACACCACATCCAAAAAAAAAAAAAAAAAAGCTGCCCAATGCCTAAGCTCTCGCTATGCGTAGCGTTCGGGGAAGGGCCGAACCACAAGGATCTATTGTACCAGCCTTATCCTATATTTCTGCAAGATGCTGTTTGCAGGGCTCGAACCCGTGACCTCTTGATCACATGGCAACAACTTTACTAGTTATGCCAAGGCTCCCCTTCTCCCGCAATGTGCAGGGTCCGGTGAAGGGCCGGACCACAAAAGTCTATTGTACGCAATCTTACCCTTCATTTCTACAAGCGTCTATTTCCACGGCTCAGACTTGTGATCTCATGATTCACACACCACCATTATCAAAATTGTACGGAAAAAAATGAAAATTCATGTGTTACTGACTAACCTGGGTTCAGAATTTACAGAATCTGCAGCATTTGCCTTCTCAGAGTCTAGTTGTACATACTTTTGATGCACCTAAAAACAAGATTCAAAGAAAGCAAACATATTGGAATCCAAATAACACAAGGGAAACACTTCATATGAAAGGATATGGCTTCATCCAACTCATATATATATAAAAAAAAAAAAGTCTAAATTTTGCTTAGAATTAGAATCAACACTAGTATAAACCTTCATTTCTAACTAACTCATCACACCTATAACCATTTAAATTAAACTTGAAAAACGTGTCATATGAAACAAACAGAAGTTAAAATTGACACAAATTAATTTAACAAACAGTTGTATAACTTACTTGGAACTTGTTACAAGGTTTTATACGCTTTTGTTTCTTGGTCGTAAAACCAAAACAGCCAAGAAAACATCCCATTTCTTTTTTAGATCTCTGCTTTCTTGATTTTCCCAAAAAACCCTGCAGAGAAAATGGAGGAAGATTTTGTCTTTTATATTTGCAGTGTGTTTATATGAAAGTTTGTTGGTTGGTGGGGGGGGGGGGGGGTGAGGTGGGCGGTAGGGGAGAATGGTGGCTTTTTTTGGTAATGAAGGATTTAAATATGTTGCCTCCAACGGTATTTGAAAAATAGGAACGTTAAGAAAAAGGGATAGAAAAAATAATGAAGTAGTAGGGTAGTGGGTAAAAAGACAAGGTTCAAAACCAGTTTGCCAGCTTTTTTCTGATTTCTGTAATATTGAGATTCTATTTTTCTAATAAAATTTTAATTACCCTGTCAAATTCTTTTTAAGAAATTTTAAAGATATTTTTGAATTTTTTGATATTTGACAAGAGGTACAGAAAGATTTTAGAAAAGTTAATGTAAGGACTTGAAAATATTTAAATAAATGTTAAAAGAATTTAATTGTAGTTTTATGACTACTCTTATCTAATAGTATATAATATGCCTGAAATTGGTAATAAGATTGCTTTGTGAAGTTTTGAAGATTTGTTTTTTCTATACTCTTTTATCTTCTTTTTTCTATTTCTTTTGGATGGAAAGGCTTGGGTTAAAGGAAAAGGAAAGAAAAAGATCTTAGTCAAAATTGAATGTTTAGTACGAGGGATAAGGGATAATTAATTCTGGTCGTAAATTTGAGATGAATTTATCTCACATTTGGTTGAGATAAAATTACGGTATTACTTATCCTGAGATTATAGTATTATTTTTATCCTTACAAAAGGGCAAAATAACAATCCTGAGATAATTAATTCTGGAATAACTTATTTCCAACCAAACGACCCAGGAGGTAATGTGAAGTAACTGGAGCTTTCCGCAAATTGATGTTGACAAAACTCTAATAAATGAATCACTTTTTGAATTCTTTGTCTTTCATCAATTACATAGTCTAGAATATTTTACATCTAAGGGACCTGCGGCTGCTAGTTTTGCATCTCGAAGCAAGTCTTATCAACTAAAATATACTATGAGAACATTGACTTTCAATATACTGCAAATTTGGAAGTGCTTGAATTTTTGAACATGACGAAACTGGTCTAGGTGTGTGTTCCGTACTTCGGTTCGATATTTAAAAATTTCGATTTGATACTTCAATATTTAATTTTATCAACTACGTATACTGAATACCATACCAAAGTCGTTCGATACGTTCAATATTTCTTATTTGATTCAGTATGACTTCGGTTTATCAATTTGCTTGAAATTTCAATAGAAAATGCAGCGACAACAACAAATTGTTGTCCTATTTCATACATCAACCGAATCAAATTTCATTTAGTAAAATGAAAGCAAGGTAACAAAAAGACATCATCTGGGCAAAGTACAGTCAAACCTCTCCATAACAGTCTCGTTTGTTCCGAATTTTTTTGAATGCTATAGTGAAATGCTATTATAAAGGACAAATATTATAACATAATATAATATTCGATTCCGAAAAAAACTCGATTCTTATAGTGAATGGCTATTATATAGGGATGTTGTTATAGAGAGGTCTGATTGTATAGTCAAACCTCTCTATAACAGCCTCGTTTGTTCCGAATTTTTTTGGCTGCTATAGTGAAGTGTTGTTATAAAGGACATATATTATTATATAATATAATATTCGGTTCCGAAAAAACTCAACTTTTATAGTAATGGCTATTATATAGGGATGTTGTTATGGAGAGGTCTGACTGTATTATACAAACTAGGGCTGGCAAGTGGGCCGATCCAGGACCGGGACCGGCCCAGGACCGCGGCCCATATGGGTTGTGGGCCTAAACGGTCCTAACCGTATAAGACCGGGACCGTGGGGAGGTGGGCTGGGTAGTGGGTCGGTCCTGTGCACGAGGCGCGCGAGACCGGGACCAATTGGGACCGGGACCGGCTGGGAAGTGGGCCGGTACAAGCGGTCCTAAACGGGCCCAACGGCTCTTATTTTAAAAAAAAAAAATCTGCCTGGTAGGGCGTTTAAAATGTAGTCATTTCTCTGCCAAAATAGTCGTTGGCTATTTACAAAATAGCCATTTAACTACCCCCCCCCTCCCCTACCCCCCCCTCCCCAACTTTGTTTTAACCCCAAACTTTTTATAATTACACTTTTTCTCTATTTTCAATTATAAATACCCCCTCATTCTTTCATTTTTCTCACAAAATCATCAATCTCTCTCTAATTTTCTTCTATAATTCCTTACTTTATTGTTACAATTTGTGAAAAATTATGAAGTTGGTGAATTAAAGTCTTCAACGATAATCAATTTTCAACAAGTTGTTCGTCAATTCGGTAAACTCGTTCCAACTCATAATTTTTAATATTATAGTTTTGTTTGTTTTATTTATTTTCTATTATTTGATTAATTATGATGGCTTCCTTAAAAAACTTTTTGGTAAAAATAAGGGAAAATCCAAGAGTGGCGAATCTAGTGGCCAATCTGTTCCTCCTCCACTGCCCCCGACTCCCCGACCCAAACCCCATATCCGCCCTACACCTGCAATTCTTGATAGCGATAATAGTTTATTACAATTTACTGAGAGTCAATTTTGCCATAATGTTGGGGTTGGTGAAAAGTTAAACCATGAATTAATGAATGCTCTTTATTCTAATCCAACTATTGATAAAGATGATGAGGAGGAAATAGATTTTGATGAAACGCAACCGGATGACGATACACCCACTAGTCATGCTCCTGAAGTTAACCCAACTAATGATAATCCACATGATGCCCTGTCTGACCCTCCTGTTATTACCCCTACTTTTTCTAGACAATGTCCCAAACGGTCAGAAACATCTATTGTTTGGCCTTTTTTTACTCAACTAATTCCACAAAATAAGGCTAAGTGTAAAATTTATGGCAAGGAGTTAGCTTTTAAATATTTTGACGGTCGGGGGAGGAGGGAGGGACGGGAACTTTGAAAAGACACATATCGATACACCCTCAAGATAAAATCAAATATTTTCGTATGAAAGCCTTGACCGAGGGGACAAGTGTACCTACTCCTAGTCAGGTTGGCCTTAGTACCGGGTCTAAGACAATGCAAATTTGTTTGCTCATTTTTCAGAGGGTGGGAAAATTTATGAACAAGCTATTGATTCAATGAGAAAATAGTTTAAAAAATATATTTTCCCTATTTCCCCTATTTATGGTGTTGCTGCCTTGTTAAATCCTACTATGAAATTAGGAGGTCCTCAATTTTGGTATGAAATTGTTTATAATGGTTTAGCACTTGAAGAAGATGAGTTGTCTAAACTTTCGGAAGCAATAGCCTCAATTAAAATAAATGCTCAAACTATTTATAATGCTTATCAAGTTGCATTAGATCAGGCTAGACCAAATGTTCCAACTCCTTCTTCTTCTGATTCTCAATCATCTAAAAGAACTGCGGCAGTAAGACCACTTAGTGCTTGGGCCGGGTTCAGGGGTTCTCAGGGTTCTAGTACTAGTGATTTTTCACAACTAAATGAGTTTGAAGTTTATTTGTCACAGGGAATTGAGGAAGTGAATCCTGACAGCTCATTTAATATTTTGGAATGGTGGAAGGACAAAGAAAAACGCTTTCTGATTCTTTCAAGGATGGCCCGAGATATTTTAACTATTCAAGCTTCAACAGTGGCATCGGAGAGCGCTTTCAGTCAAGCAAGACTTCAACTCGGTGATTATATAGCGTCTATGAAGGAGAGCTTAACAAAATGAGTACTTTTTAGAGATTGGATCCGTTCGGAGAGAAGAAATTTTGGACTTGCTGAATCGCAACCAGAGGTAGACGAAGCTTACGAAGAAATGCTAGCTCAACTTGCGGAGGATTCTGCTTCGCCCGGAAGCGGTGATGACCAAGCTTTTTTTCCGCCACCACCAACGGAAATTCCTCCGGACCTTAATGGATTTATGAAGTTTGTAAGAGATACCATGTAAATTAATATGTAACTTGTATTTTGGCACATCTTGATTAGTTTCTTTTTCTTCTCAATGGTGGTATTAGCACCTTGTTGTGCTCATTCCATACGAGGGAGGAAGACTAAGAAAGATATTGCCATGTTTTGTTAATGCTATAATAAAAATTATAATGCATTGCCTTAGATATTTTTATTACCATCTTTTTTTTTTCTAACTTCTATAAAATTTAAAAAAAATAGAAAGTTTATTCGTTGGGCCCACTTAGGCCCGGGACCATTAGTTCGTGGTCCCGGTCTCAGTTGGTTCCTACAAAAAGCCCGTGAAGCCCGGGACCACTTAGGACCGGCCCACTTAGGCCCATTTAGGACCGGTCCTGGCCCACTCTCCAGCCCTAATACAAACTCACAATATAGAAATACAGCAAAAATCACTCCAAGTAGCGCTATTGACCTTGCGAAATTCTGAAATTTTACTCATTGTTTAGGGGTTCGAAGTAGAAGTCATGCTATGTGTTCTGAATCTAGATTACTTAAAGTTAAATGTTCCTTTACATTATGTTCTTTTTGTGATAGATTGTTATTACTATCTAGAGTTTAAATGCTTTTTTGGCTTCATTCTTATTTTATCTTGTTGTTATTCCTATTTGTTGCCATTACTTTTTTTATCCGCTCTCCAGCCAAGGGTCTATCGGAAACAACATCTCTTCCCTTCCACGGTAGAGGTAAGGCCGCGTACATCTTACCCTCCCCAGACCCCACTTGTGAGAATTTATTGGGCTTGTTGTTGTTGTTGTTATTATTGTTCTGTTACATTGTGGGACAATCACATATCATTCTTGCTAATTATTAGATGTAGTAAATAAACATCTTTTAGTAGCTGTTGGAGATCAAAATTCTTAGTTAATGATAGACCAAATCCGTTTTCTATTTTTAAAGACCAGTAAAAGTTGATGCAATCAGAGGCAGGATTTCTGCTAAAGGGGTTTAAAAAAAGAAAAAGTTAAACCCCCTTGAACACTGAGCTATGCTTTTAGGTTGTGCCAAGGAGATTCAAAATAAAATATATAACTGATTTTGCATTATATATACAATGTAATATTCCGACGAAATGGGTTCAGGCACCCCTTTCTGC